TGCAAACAGCAGTGTCTTAATTATTGTGGTTTTAAAGTAAGTCTGGAAAGCACGCAGTGTAAATCTTCTAAATGTGTTCTTCTGTGAGAGGTTCTTTTTCCTTTTCTTCCTCTTTTGCATTTTCATAGCCATTTGCGATCGGTTTGTTAATTTCTATTAAAACCTTCATGAAATTTTGATTGGGATCGCACTGAATCTATAGCTCAATATGGGGAGAACTGACACTTCAGCAATATTAACTTGCCCAATCTCTAAGCATGTCACATGGCTTATATTTTTATTTGATATCTTTCTGCAATATGGAGTAGGTTTTGGAATATGAATCTTGCATATATGTCCTTACATTTATTTTTGAGTAGTTCATGTTCTTCCTGTGATTGTAAATAAATTGCTTTCTGACTTATCTTCTAATTGCTGGTAAAAAATTGAAATATAATTACATTTTATATATTGACCTTGATTCCTAGGACTTTGCCAAATTCACTTTCCAGTTCTAGAAGCTTTCTGGGGTAGATTTCTTAGAATGTTTTATATATACGATCATGTCAACTGTGAAAAAGACATTTTGCTTCTTCTTAATTTGTATCCCTTTACATTTTTCTCACATTGTTGGACTAGCTAGCACTTTCAGTATATTACTGAGTGGAAATGGAGTGACTATCTTGTTCCTGAACTAAGAAGCATTCAATATTTCACCATTGACTATGACATTAACTGTCGTTCTTTTGTATATGCCCATTATCAGGCTAATGAAATTCCTTTTTTCCCCCCAGTTTTTTGAGAGTTTTGTTTTCATGAACCAGTGTGGAATTTTGTCAAAATTTTTGCATCGAAATATTTTTTTTCTCTTTGATTCTATTAATGTGGTGAACTCCAACTATTGATTTTAAAATGTAATACCAACCTTGTAATCCTGACCTAAGTTCCACTTATTAGTAACATTTATCCCAGTCACATAATGTTGAATTTGATTTTTAAAATATTTTATCAAGGACTTTGTATATCTTTATTCATGCATCATCTTGGTCTCTGATTTTCTTTTCTTGTAATGTCTTTGTCAGGTTTCAGTAACAGGGTCATACTGGCCTCATAAACCAACTTGAAAAACATCTCCTATTTTCTCAGAGTTTGGGATTAAACTGGTATTGGTGTTTTCCTTAAAACTTTGATAGGATTTGTGAGTAAAGCTGTCTGGGCCCGGGGTTTGCCTTGTCGAAAGATTTTTAATTATGAATTTTATTTGAAAATAGATTGAAGGCTATTTGCATTTTTCCGTTTCTTCTTGTGCTAATGTTGGTAAGATGTGCTTTTCCAGGCATTTAACCATTTCGCTAAGCTTTGAATTTGTAGGCAAAAAATTATCAATGCTTTTCTCTTTTTGGAGAGTTGAAGCCCTTTTCATTATGTAATAAGCCCCTTTATTTACCGGTAATGTTTCTTGTCTGAAGCTAACTTTTAAAAAAAATTTTATTATCTATTTGAGAGAGAGAGAGAGCACGAGTGGGAGGAATGGCGGAGGGTGAGAGAGAAGCAGACTCCCCCCTGAGGAGAGACCCCAACCCGGGGCTCCATCCCAAGACCCTGAGATCATGACCTGAGCTGAAGTCAGATGCTTAACCGACTGAGCCAGCCAGGTGCTCCTGAAGCCATCTTTGCTATTTAATAAAGCTACTTCAGCTTTCCTTTGAGTAGTGTCTACACAGCATGTCTTTTTCATCCCAGCTTGTGTCTTTCTATTTAAGGTGGTAGTTCTAGAGGCAATGGATAGTGGGCTCTTGATTTTTTATCTAACTTAACAATCTAAATTTTAAATAGCGTGGTTTACATTGAATGCGACTATTGAATTAAAACCTATCATCTAACCAGCTGTTTTCTATTTGTTCCATTTGTTCTTTGTGTCTCTTTTCCTTTCTGCTTGCCTCCTTTTTGCTTAATTGAGCCCTGTTTATGATTCAATGTTATTACCCCCATTGGATGATCATGGACACCTCTTCTGAAAAAAAAATTCAGTAGTTACCTTAGAGTTTACTATATATGTCTTATGTAATTGAAGTCTACTTTCAAATAATCTTTTGTTTTACGACTAGTGTAAGGAGACCAAACCATCCCCAATGTCTTGCTCACCTTCTTGTTCTATTGCTGCCGCATATTTACTCTTACATACGCCATAAAACCACAAGACTACTATCTTTGCTGTAGACAGTTATTTTTCAGAGCAGTTAAAAACAGTACAAAATGAATGTTGAACTTTGTTTACCTTTAGTTATGTCATTTCTGGTGCTCTCATTTTCTTTGTGTAGATTCCAGTTTGTCTGCTATTGGATTCCTTCTGCCTGAAGCACTTTCTCTAACCTTCCATTACAGCGTGGGTCTGCGGGCAATTAATTCACTCAGATTTGGTTTGGGTTTGGGTTTGGCAGAGTCTTTATTTCGCCTTTTTTTTTTTTTTTGAAAAACATTTTTGCTGGGTATAGGATTATGATTTGACAGATTTTTGTTGTTGTTCACTCACAGAAACATCACCCATTATCTTCTGGGTTGCATGGTTTCTGAATAGAGGTCTGTGGATTCTTATCTTTCATTTGTATTCTGCTACATGGAATGTTCTTTTTGTCCTGCCTTCCTAATTTTCCCTTTGTCCCTGGTTTTCCGCAGTTTGAATATAATATGCCTTTGGTGTGGGGGTTCTTGTGGAAGGGGAGCATTTATTCTGCTTGGTGTTCTTTGAGTGTCTTGGAATGGTTCTTTGGTATCTGTCATTCATTTTAGAAGTTTCTTGCATATTATTTCTTCTTATCATTTCTTCCTGGCATGCTAATCACACTTAGTTAGATCTTTTATCTACATATCTCTTGGATGCTCTGCTGTGTTTTTTCCTCCACACTCCATCCTTCCCCACTGTTTCGCAAATCAGTGCCAGAACTGTTATGAATCTAGTTTCCATATGTGTGAGGCTGACTAAAGAAATTTTGTTGCTGTTGTCTCCTCTTCTTCTCCAAATCCTTGTGGGTGCATCCCTTTAAAAGATTGTTTTCTGCTACTTTAGGAAGTTGAGTGAAAGTAGATGCATGTGTGGAATCTGCATCTTTACCAGGAAGTCAACTTTGAATTTCGTTATTTAAATTAAGCTTAAGTGGTGATAAGGACTACATTTTCCATTATCTTTGGAATGAACTAATGTGTTATAGCTTATCTTCTCATTTTGAAAGACTTCGCATTCTCAGAAATAAGAGAAAAGAATCACAAATAACGATCTCTAACATTTATCATAATTCTCTGTGCTGGTGTTATTAAGCGCCACTCTCGTACTAACTGATTTAATCCTCACAGTGACTTTACAGTATAGACAATCTTATTATCCTTAGTTTTAAAGTTGAGAATAAACTGAGGTACAATTAGATTAAGTAATTTGCCCAAAGATGCAGAAATAGAAAATGACGGAATTTGGTTTCTTAACCACTCTATGCTGAGTGCCTTTAGCAAATGGGAAGATAAATGCTTTTAGGTAATATCTTTGCTTTTGGTCTCTGGAATTCTTCATGTGTTACTATTACTCTCCAAGAATCTTAAACTATTTATCAGCAAGTACATATTTAATGCCTATTATGTGCCCCAAATAATTTTGTTCACTGTGGTGGTATAAAGAATACAGCAGGGCTATTTCCTTCAGGGAGTTTACATTTCTCCAAAGAAAAGGCTCCCCAAAACGTGAAAATAAGTTTTATGGTCCAGAGTGGTATCACCATTCAGAAAAAAAAAGAAAGCTTGATATGATCCAGGTGCTCAGAAACCATGGAAAACACATTAAAACCAATGATGATTATTCAAAAGCCCCTGGATTACCCATGGAGATTTTCGCTTTTCCTTTTGCTTCTTTTTGTCCCAAATTCTTAGCTGTTGTACTGTTTATAAATACTTCTTCTGCAGAACAAAGTAAGAGGATTGTTCAAAAACCCAGAAGTTCTTTATAAAAGCTTAAAGTGGAAAGAGTCCCAAATTCTTGGTCACACTCAACTTCTTGGTCCAGATATGTATCACCTGGAAGAGATATACACACACACACACACACACACACACGTGCGCACACACTTTTTATCCCACTATCTTCCTTTCCCCATCAAGATGGTTAACTGAGAATTAACATGTATTAGTGGTGTTCCCTAGTATTTCTGGAATAACTGTGAGTAAATAAAGCGTGTAATTGATACAATATTATCTTTAGATTGGCTGGCACAATATCTGACTCTTAAGAGGCACCAAACTAATATTTGTTGTTTCACTGATTGAATGAATGAAATGAAAGGAATCCTAAACTGAACCTTCTTATAAACAGTAATCCTCATGAGTTTGTAATTTGATTTGAAGAGATTTTTCTAATGCAATGTGAACCAACATATCTCGGGGAGAAAGGACACGCTATAGGATCAAGGGGCTGTATTTGTTTATAGTCATGTCTCCCCTCTGCAGTGCTATAACTGGCTGCTAGCCGGCACTCAATAAATATTTGTTGGATGCAAAAATGAATCATTTGACAGTATCTGGTTTGATGCTGGAGGAAGTCTATATAACAACCTATCCAGGAGGAAATTCCAGACAAAACTAACAGTAACCATAGAACAGTTTTTTAGGAAAAACTTGACAATGCAGTGGTCAGACCATCCACTTTGGAACCATGCAGACCTGGGATCTAGTACCAACCCCGCCACTTACAAGCTAGCTATGTAACCTCAGGAAAGTTGCCCAGCCTCTGCAAGTCTTCATCTTCCAATTTTTCAATGTGGGGCAGTAACAGTATTTCATGTTTGTTGTAATGATTAAGTAAGATGTTCCACATCAAGAGCTTATTTCGTGACCAACAACCTTATGTGCTCAACAAATGGTAAATAACGAGTTATTGTTACACAGAGATTTCAGGAGTTGAGGCTGTGGCCATTTGGATCTCTAGAGAATCTTAATAAAAATGGGGAAACCTAAAACAGAGGAGTCTATATCCTTCCTATGTTCCTTTTTTCTTGCTTTAGGAATTTTGAGTGACCTTTATTTGGCCTTATGGGTGTGTGGAAAGGTAGGGGATGGGATGGGAGCTAGAAATCCTTTCCACTTCTAGAGAAATGCCCTCTACCAAGGATTTATGCTGACAAGGCAACATAGGCCCCCCTATCAGCTGAGGATGAAAACAGCCACAGACAATGGGATATGACACAGTAATGAGTTCTCATTTGTCAGGTGTCAGCTTGCTGATATGGTCTAAGGATATGGTGTTCAATAATTCTTAGAAATCGGTAATAACAATACCATTTACACAGCAGTTCTTCCTACAGTTTTCAAAGTATCTCCACACACACTATCTGTTTTAATTTCCATCATAATGCTATGAGGAACCTGACATAAATATCACCACTCTCATTTTATAGATGAGTCAATACATTCTGAGAAGTGAAGTGACTAGGCCCAAGGCCACTCGGCTGCTCCATAATTGACCTCAGACTTGAACCCAAGTCCTCACCCTCGGTTCATTCCTTTTTTCCATGAAACTTTAGCAGGCTGTTTGTCCTACAGAATCCATCTATTTTGATTATGAAATGTGCTTGCAAACATGTTAGGCCCTTAAGCATTTGTGTTTATAAAATGATTTCATAATTGGTAGTAGCAGCCCATTTTTTAAACCTCATTCTCTTTTTGATCTAACAGGAAATGAAGGTTTTCTTCTGGATACCCCAGATCTTTGATGATGCCAGTAAGGAAACATCCACACCCTTTGGTTAGACGATGAAGCATGAGGCTGTGGTTATTTTAATCAGTTACTCCATGGAAGGTTGAAAGCTGTTAAGCAGAATCAATCTTAGGACAGAGAGCGGTGGAACTCCAGAAGGTGTAACCTTACCAGCATCTTGGTGGATGCTTCCTGATTGTAGTATCCTTTTCATCCTCAATTTATATTCCAGGTTGTTACCTAGAATAAATCCCACTATTTCTAGCTAATGCACGGTCTTTGTTTTGAATGGAAAAGAGAGAAAATATGTTGATCCCCCTGTGGCAGCACAGGAAATATGCCTAAAATGGAATATCTTTCACCATCATGAATAACATTAATCTTTACAGTTCTCCAAAGTCAATAATTACTGTATAGTTGGCTTCCTATTTATATGGATTGGCAGCATCCTTTGAGTCTCCAGGTGACAGAAATTCTGTCCAGAAATGGACATTCTTAAGATTATTGTCAAATTCCTTAATGAGGAATTAGAAGCTAAAGTGGCTAGCCTCTAGGTACAACCGGTTGGCAACAGGCTGATCTTCTCCCTTCTGGATTCTTCAGAGAGGGTTGACTGATAAAGCCCTGAAGAGCTGTTGAGCATGCCAAGTCTTCTGGTGTGAGGGCAGCTACCATGTCCCAGTCTATGCTGAGCCTGTCTTGTGTATTTCCAAGTACTCAGGTATGTGATCCTTGTGCACACCCATGCCCTCTGCTGAGATGACGTAGTAATCACGGGCATGAGGATGTCACAGGCACTGTGCTACATTCATTCTCAAAATAATCTCACTTTATTCCAACAACAATAATTTGAATTGGGAAGAAATGTTAACACTTGGCACATTTCAAAACAAGGGCTTGGATAGATGATCTACTTTGTCCAAGGTCACATAGCTATTAAATGGCCAAGTGGGGACCTGAACTTAGTTCTGTCTACTCACAACTCAATGCTTTCAACTATCACCTTCATTGTCTTCCCCAAGATAATGGCTCCCCTGTGGTAACTGCTAGAGGCTGGAAAACAGAGGCCTGAGAGAACTTTTCAATATGAAATGATAACTCTTTGCCCACTGAGAGTCTTATTTAAAAAAACCCAGAGGAAGATTATATTAATATATTTATTCAATATTTATGTACAATATTTACATTTACAAAATGCTTTATAGTGTAACAGAATGGGCAGAAATTTTTATTTGGGCATATAATTGTCTTTTCTCTCATATTCATTTATTCCTTTGATTTGTATAATATGTTCTCCACTTGGTCTTCTGAGATCATGTACAATGGTAACAAATTTTAAATAAGATTAATAAAAGATTATTTCGTATCACTCATAGGGAAAACTGACTAGGGCCATGCCGGTCTCTGTTCTTTATAAACGTTATGCAAAAGAGGATAATACCATCCCCAGAATACTGTCTACAACACCAGCTGTGCTTATTCGTGGGGCTTTAAGAATATATTGAGCTCCTATTCCTCATTTATTTTGTGGTATTCACTCTCTGCCCTTCAGATGGTTGGGGAACTCAACATTTCAGATGAGGAAATGACTTTGCTGAGCATCACCTCAAGTAGCCACACTATGTCCTTCTTTCATTGATCTTCAGGCAAGAATACTCTGCATGAAGCACCTGGATGGCTCAGTCATTAAGCGTCTGCCTTCAGCTCAGGTCATGATCCCAGGGTCCTGGGATCGAGCCCCACATCGGGCTCCCTGCTCGGCGGGAAGCCTGCTTCTCCCTTTCCCACTCCCCCTGCTTGTGTTCCCTCTCTCACTGTGTCTCTCTCTGTCAAATAAATAAATAAAATCTTAAAAAAAAAAAAAAAAGAATCTTCTGCAGAGGTTTCTTGCTGACAATTCCCTCCACCTGGATATCTTTTCCCTAGATGGTCACGTAACTGCCAACTTCAGTGTCTTCAGGCCTGAAATCAAGAGGCACCTTCTCCAAGAGGCCTGCCCCAGCCCCAGATCCCAAAGAACCCCCTGTCCGGGGTGTATCCTGACATGTCTTTTATTTTCTCTTTAGCACATGGTACTTTGTGTTAAGAACCCTAGAGTTCCAGGGTTTGGTGAGAATAGATTTAAAAAATATGTTGATGAGCCACTATCGTGTCATTTTTTTTTTTAAAGATTTTGTTTATTTGACAGAGAGACACAGCGAGAGAGGGAACACAAGCAGGGGGAGCGGGAGAGGGAGAAGCAGGCTGGCTGCTGAGCAGGGAGCCCGATGTGGAGCTCAATCCCAGGACCCTGGGATCATGACCTGCGTCGAAGGCAGACACTTAACCAACTGAGCTACCCAGGCACCCCTATTGTGTCATTTTTAAATGGCCACAGCCTGCTTTAAAATTCATCTTTTAAGGAATCTCTTTAGTGTAAAGTATTCTGAGGGCTTACAATACATTCCCCGTCTTTTTAAGGACCCAGATCATTACTGAGGAGGGCATGCAAATGTGTGGCTGGGGCAAATGCTTATATTTGGTCAACTTACAGGTTCTAAACAACTTGTATGTGTAATCAGAGGATTAAAAATTATTCTAAAAAATATATTTTCTCATCCTTGTAAGCATGTGTGTGAATATTAATTTTTTCCTTTAAAACTTATAGGCAGGAGTGCTTCACTCGAGTGTGGTTAGAAAGATCAGGGCAGGGGCACCTGGGTGGCTCAGTCGGTTAAGAGTCCAACTCTTGGTTTCCGCTCAGGTCGTGATCTTAGGGTCATGAGATCAAGCTCCACGTCAGGCTCTGTGCTCAGCACGGAAGTCTGCTTGAGTTTCTCTCTCCCTCTCCCTCTGCTCCTGCACCCCCCAAAATAAATAAATAAATCTTAAAAAAAAAAAGGAGGGGTGCCTGGGTGGCTCAGTCGTTAAGCGTCTGCCTTCGGCTCAGGTCATGATCCCAGGGTCCTGGGATCGAGCCCCGCATCAGGCTCCCTGCTCGGCGGGAAGCCTGCTTCTCCCTCTCCCACTCCCCCTGCTTGTGTTCCCTCTCTCGCTGTGTCTCTCTGTCAAATAAATAAAATCTTTAAAAAAAAAAAAAGAAAGAAGGAAAGATCAGGGCAGAGGCCTGTACTGGGGCAGGGGGCCGGGGGACAGGCAGACTGGTTAAGTGGTTCTCAACTCAGGCTGCACCTTATTAATAATGTCATATCCTACCAATGAGGACCAATCAAACCCGGATCCTGGGGGTGGGGGGTGAGCTCAGGCACCATTATGTCTTCCTGATTTACAGTGAGGGATGAGAACCACTGCAGGTCAGCAGGCAGCTAACATCTCTTCTTGAGGAAAGTGAGCAACTGTTGTCAGCCTCTGCTTCCCCCCAGGCCACCGGGTAGAGGTGCCTGATTCTCATTCACCTCAGCATCCCTCTCTCCACCTGTCTGTGGTTTCTGGAACTAGTCTCACTATCTTCAACACAGTGCCCAAGGAGCCTAGTGGGGCTGCCCCTGCACCCTCCCCTTGGTCTTGGTCTTCAGTTTCCTGATTGTTCTTCAGCTGCCCTCCTGGTCTCTCAGCCCAAACCTCAGCCCGCTTGCCTGTGCCTGACCACTCTTGGCTTTACTCCTGCCAACCTCTTCTTCTTGGAGTCAGGGCCTGTTCCCCGCCCCCCAAGCCACCAGCTGGGGTCCTGCTTCAAATGGGTTGAAACCCCCGAATCAGAGAGGAGTCCCTCGTGACTCATCACAGGCTGGCAAAGCCTACTGCTGCCAAATCCCCTGACAGGTCAATCTCCTCGAACAGGACCTTTGAGTTCATGAAGAAATGAATTCACCTCTTTTTTTTTTTTTAAAGATTTTATTTATTTATTTGAGACAGAGAATGAGAGACAGAGAGCACATGAGAGGGGGAAGGGTCAGAGGGAGAAGCAGGCTCCCCGCCGAGCAGGGAGCCCAATGTGGGACTCGATCCCGGGACTCCAGGATCATGACCTGAGCCGAAGGCAGTCGCTTAACCGACTGAGCCACCCAGGCGCCCCATCAGCTCCAGAGTTTTTTTTTTTTTTTAAAGATTTTATTTATTTATTTCAGAGAGAGAGAATGAGAGAGAGCACATGAGAGGGGGGAAGGTCAGAGGGAGAAGCAGACCCCCCGCCGAGCAGGGAGCCCGACGCGGGACTCGATCCCGGGACTCCAGGATCATGACCTGAGCCGAAGGCAGTTGCTTAACCATCTGAGACACCCAGGCGCCCCATGAGTTCACCTCTTTAGCAAAGTCGCACAGCAAGGTCAGGGGGTGTGAAGAATGGGGACCATTAGTGCAATCAGTCAACCACGGTGGGAGACCAACAGAGGAGGTACTCATGGAGCATTTCTGGAAAGAAACAGACATCGTAGGAACGTCAGCTACACAGGGAGTTCACTTTGATCTGAGATGAAAATAAGGTGTGACAAAATAACAGTGGTGATTACATTGTCGTGGAGTGTCCAAAAATGTGGCAACTCAGCGTCGCACGAGAAAGGTGCGCACACTCTTTAGATAGGTCACTAGTGGAAACCTCGGGGTGCTACTCGCAGGCATGAGCCAGAGGAGAGAATGGGATTGGCTTAGATCCCCCCAGGACGGGTAGGTCCCCACTGCAAAGCTGCCTTCTCCCAGGGAAGCAGGGAAGCCGGGGCTCCTGCAACCACAGCTGGGTTCTTGGAAACCTGTGTCGACCCAGTGGTGCCCCAGGTGCCCTGGGTTCATCACTTGGCTTCCGGCACAAGGGGCTTCAGCTCGGAATCTCCTCTTCCCTGAGCACCTGGGGGGATTGCATTTCCCTGACCCTTTGAAATGTGAGAGGAAGTGTCACCTATCACTTCCTTGTGGACGCAATCAAGAGCCATTCATCTGATGGTGGCTGGGTAGAGGTGCCTGATTGTCATTCAGTGGAGGACAGTGGAGCCTTGGGTCCCTGAGTGAGTCCATAGAGCTCCGCCACCTGCTGACCCCCACTGGAAGGATAGCATGAAAGAGATACGAATCTTGATTGTGTTAAGCCACGGAGCGGCAGGGGATGGTTTCGGTGGCAGCAGAGCCTAGCTTATCCTAACTCCTTTGAGGACTTTCCCCATGAATGTGCTCCTGCAGATTCTCTAGAACTTTAACGTTTCCCTCTTGCCTGGTACAGTAGAGGGAGTGGTATTTTTCTTCACCGAGAGAGCGAAAGAGATTCTGGCCTTACCTTCCTGTGCTCATCTAAGTGGGTGGAGGCTAGGGAATGGAGAATTTGGCATTTTACTCAGTACTGTGCGTGCAGGCAACGTGTAGGACCATCTGGCTACAAGATTTTCATTTTTCTATTAGAGATGAAGGAGAGCTCCAAATAGGTTAAGTCACTTGCCTAAAGATCCCCTAGCTGGTAGATGTCAGAGCTGGGACCAGAACCCAAGCCCATCTTGCCTTCAAAATATGTGTTTCTTTTCCCCCAACATAAACATACAAGGAGTGAGCTCTTAACTCCTAGCCTGTTCGTGCTTTTCGCCTCACTATAATCTCTTTAAAATAATCTTTAGTTAGGTCAATCTACTATTCAAAGCTATTATTCTTAGAATTATGTCCTTCTTTCATTCCATCCAGATTTGTTTTTACTGATCTTTGACACCTGAGGTGCTACAAATCTGTGTGTTTGTTTAAACTCCAGTCAAACACACTCGTGTTTGTTTTAGGTTGGAATATCACCACCAGGCTATCTGGAAATGCCTCTACAGGTTTTCAGAAACGCCAGGGTTGCCCTTTGTGGTAAGGATCTAGGAGGAGGGAAATGGAATGAGACAGAGAGGGAAGAGGGTTATTTTTGAAAAGGGGAAAATAAGGTTTACTCCATTAACAGAGGCCTTTCGGTACCTAGGATCGTCTCAGCTGCCATGCCTGTGACCCTTAGAAATGTACGTGGCATCTACTTCAGGAAAGGCCCCCTGTGCAAACAAGATGAAATCGCAGAGCAGATCCACAACTCCCCCGCTCCGTGCACATGGGATGGTTCACTTGGCTTTGAAAGTGCATCCAAGCTGCCTCGTTCAGACGTCGGTGGAGGGCAGGCCTCGGCCCGCATTCTCTGACTCCTGACATGACTTCTCGATAGAGCGCCAGGATTTTTCTCAAGTGTAACAATATGAATTATCAAGTCACTTTAAAACACGTGTGATGTATGTGTGCATTTATTTCACAGGAATGGTATAAAGATTAAATACTTAATGAATCCATTTTTCATATCAAGGATATATTTGCCCTACGCCTAAATATATCTCTCCCTTCTGTTTCTCATGAGAAATATAGCTATCTTTATTATGTAATCAGTAATAGATCATTCCTTCTAAGCAGGATCTAATTTTAGCAACATGATGAATGGCCTGGGAATGTATTCCACTGCCCTCTGCAGAAAGGAATATATATCAGACCTGCTCAGGTGTGTGTCATTTCTTTATATCGGGAGCTTTCTGCTCCCCAAGTGGCAGCCTGGGTTTTTCTGGTTGAAAGCCCCAAGTTCTGTCTCTGTTTCGGCTCCTGCAGACACCGTTAGGAAACAACCGTGTGTGAACAATAACCAGGTTTGCTAGCTCCAGCCAATGAGTACGTGGCTCTCCTGAGCCTGTATTTGAAAATGACCCACTGGGTTATTTATTTATTTTTTTTCCCCTTCAATTCATCTCTGTGCAGGAACTGCTTGTGGAGGACTACCCTCAACCACCAACCGCCTCCCCAACTGCCATCTCTCATTTTTCCCCATGTTGTCTTTAAGCAGAAAAATTTCTTTAAAATGCAGGAATCAGGGATGACCGGGTGGCTCAGTCGGTTAAGTGACTGCCTTCAGCTCAGGTCATGATCCCAGGGTCCTGGGATCGAGTCCCACATCAGGGTCCTTGCTCCGTGGGGAGTCTGCTTCTCCCTCTGCTGGCCGCTTTCCCCGCTTGTGCTCTCTCTGACAAATAAATAAATAAAATCTTAAAAAAATAAAAATAAAATAAAATGCAGGAATCATTCCAGTTTGGCTAGCAGGATAAGGAAGGAGTAGCTTCTTTTTTTTCCTGGAGCTTCCAAAGAGAGAATGTTCATTTTTTTTCCATGCTCCCTGTGAGTTTTCTGGCTGCTTCTGAACATGCATCATAGGCATCCGTACCCCACATCTTGATAACATTTTAATTTTAAGACTATTTTGAATTCATTTTTAATTTATCTGTAAGAGAGGCAAAGCAGTACTTTATCCCCATTTTGCAGCTGCGAAGATTGAAGTTCGGACAGACTAAAATGTGACTCATTCAAATTTTGACATATGACCCTATAAGCACCCAAACCTACAACTCCATATCATACTACTGACTATGCTTAATATTTAATGGTATCTATAGAAGATGAAAGGTAAAGTTTAGGTTTTTGGTTTGTTTTTTTTTTTGCAACAATTGTGTATGTAAAACTCTGAAATTCTTTGTGCAACTACTATATTTGTTGATTCTAAGATGTCTTTTCTTTTCTCTTATACTCATGCCTCTGAACCTGGGACACATCCTACAGTCAATGGGGAATCATAATCTAACCGACAATTTTTTTTCTTTCTTAGTGGTCACAGCAGACTGATCCTTAAAAGGTCCCAAATCTTCACCCCCTCTTTGTCTCCATGTCCTTTGCAATGTCACTTTGTTAACTTCTCATCAAACAGGTCAATTTCCTCATGCCTTAAAAATGGGTTGGTCTCATCTTTACTTATTCCTATAGAGGGCGCTACTGGTGCCCTACCCATTCCTCTTTGCTCTTAACCCACTTCAGCCTGCCTGACTTCCAGAAGCACCTGCATTTCTTTGCCTGAGGGCCGTCTCTGGCTGCCAAAGTCCGCTTTGCCTGTTGTGATGGCTTAAAAATATGTTTACAGATCTTTTGACACTCCTCCCTCCTCTCCTCTTGAATGTGGGCCAGACTTTATGACTTGACTCTCTTCTATCAAATGGAATGTGGTGGAAATGACAATGTGATTTTGAAAACTAGGTCATAAAAGGCACTGTGACCATGCTCTGTCTTGGATCACTCACTCTGGCATAAGCCATATGTCATGAGGACCCTGGAGTCGTCCAGTGGAAAGGTCTACGTGGAGAGGAACTGGCCAGCCACGTTGAGTGGGTTATCTTCGATCCTCCACCCCTAGTCAAGTCTTCAGATAACTAAAGTCCTGCCGATTTCTTCACTGCAACCTCAAGAGGAAACCCAAGCCAGAATTAACCAGCTAAGCTATTCCCAAATCCCTAACCCTCACAAACAATATGAGATAATAAATGTGTATCATTATATTAAGTCACTAAGTTTTGGGATAATGTATTGCTCATCAATATAGAGCTAAACCCATCCATGTGGCAGGCTAGATATGGTGGCAGATTACCTTTTGGAAGCATTCCTCAACAAGTGACAACAGTAGGTTGTATAAACACCATAGATTTCTCACCCCTTGGGTAGGATAACTGAACTCCCAGTTTCCCCAGAAGGATTAAGTTCCAGTAGCCCAGAATAATAACTGGCTTGATAACACCCTTTATTGGCCACTTTCCCTTTCCTGCCTAACTTCTTCACTTCCCTACCAGTGTTTCCCTCATTTTCCATATTAAATACCTGCTCTCTAGTCCTTATCTCAGAATCGCATCTTTTGGGGGAATTGGGAATTCCACAGGTCAATTCCACAAAACCAGTTGCCAAGTTCCGTGCATTTTCATTTAAAATTCTCTTTCTGGGGCTGCATTTCAATAGCACCAACCTGAACTGATGCAAAGAATAAATGAATGAATAGGGGTCGCGTGGGTGGCTCAGTCTGTTAAGTGTCCGACTCTTGATTCCAGCCCAAGTCATGATCTCAGGGTTGTGGGATTGAGCCCTGTCTGGCTGTGTACTCAGCAGGAAATCTGCTTCTCTCCCTCTCCCTCTGCCCTTCTCCCTGCTCTCTCTCTAAAATAAATAAATCTTAAAAAAATAAAAAAAATGAATAAACGAATGAATGAATGAATAAATAAAATAAGCAAACAAAAACAACAACAACATCCTTCCACTTCACACATATATAAATATGTGGGTGAACATATGCCCCCCTCCCCAATTCTTAATACAATTTCAAGCTCAAAACCAAGAAAAGAACATCCACAAGTGTCAGAAACAGACAGAATGCTCAGCTGCACTGACAAGAGGGAGGTGAAATGAAAATACTCCCATGTGAATCAATAGAACAGAGAGGCCTTAGCAGCTAAAGTTTGAAGTGCTGTGAGCAGGATTGTGTAGGCCCAAGTAGGCCTCATGAGTTCCAGGAGCAAGAACCAGGCTACCTGCATGAAGCCAGGGGTCCTGAAGAGCTTATCTAGTATCCTCTGAGTCAGGGACTAGAGAAACCATCCACTAGTCTCGGGGAATAGCAGGGAAGCTTATAATTTTCCTAGGCCATGTAAATAACAGAAATCATCCAAAAGAAATGGAGACTTGTGTCACAAACGGTGTAAGGCCTGGTACCATTACTCAGGTACCTCAAACTAAGAATTCTCCTAAAATCTCATCCAGAATTGGTACATGTAAAAACGCTCCACAGGGATGCTCTAGAACACATGAAACTTCCACAGACTCCTCTTTCTCTGGCATCTCCATAAAGAAGAGTTTACAGAAAGAAAAAAAGAAGAGAAAAGAGAAGAAACCACAGAAGGAAGCCAACCACAATAGAGGGGACAAATGGGAAAATTTGCATCTCAAGAACTAGAAATAATAGAACAACAATCAAAAAAGGCTTTCAAATGAATATTTTAAAACATTTCAAGACATGAGAAAAGGAATGGTAACACAAACCAAGGATAAAACTATTTGAAAATGGGCAGATTTGTTGGGGGGGGGGGGTATTTTAAAAATGAAAAAAAAAAAAATTGGAATGAAAACCTAATGGGGCCAGTTGGACTGTGAGTAAATATGGCTGATGGGAGAATAAGCGAACTGGAAGACAGATCAGAGGAAATCACCCAGACTATAATACAAAAGATAAAGAGACAGAAAATATGAAAGTTGATTAAATGAGAAGGTCCTACATGTTTCTGAGGAGTTCCAAATGGATAAAGAAATAGAGTAAAAGGCAAAAAAAAAAAGATAATAGTCAAGAATTGCCATTATCCAAGACATGAATCTTCAAATTAAAAAGCACGCCAGGTATCATGAAGTATAATTAGAAATAAACCCACTTTTAAACACAGTAGTTGAGGGGCACCTGGGTGGCTCAGTCAGTTAAGCATCTGCCTTCGGCTTAGGTCATGATCCCAGGGTCCTGGGATCGAGCCCTGTGTCTGGCTCCCTGCTCAGTGGGGAGTCTGCTTCTCCCTCTCCTCCCTGCTTGTGCTCTCTCTCACTATCTCTGTCTGTCTGTCTCTCTCAAACAAATAAATAAAATCTTTAAAAAAAAAATCTTAAAAACACAGTAGTTGAACTGCAGAGTATCAGCCTTAAAAACTAACAGAAAGAAAAAAAAACACATTACCTACTACTAAGAGCATACTTCTCAAAAGTAACAATAGCTGACAGAACACAGCTGTTGTGTTCTAAATGCAAGGCTATGTGCACAGGAAAAATGCATGTAAATGTTGACAGACACTATTGTCTCAGAGTGAAAGTAAAAGAAAGTCAACTCCAGACATCGTAACACTATTTTAGCAAATAATACTTTGTCGAGTAGTATATGAAGATTTACTTTGGCAAAAAAAGGGAAAAGAAGTAAAATACAGTGATTAAGGAATGGATAAACGTGTGGCTAAAGCTAAATAAACCCTCAGTAGTATAATTTAAAATGCCCTTAATGGGGTGCCTGGCTGGCTCAGTCGGTAGAGCTTGCGACTCTTGATCTCCAGGTTCTGAGTTCGAGTCCCAGGTTGGCTGTAGAGATTACTTAAATATAACTTTTTTTAAAAAAGTCTCCTTTATGAGTTTAAAACTAAGGTAGAAATAAATTTCTAAGTCATAAAACCATGAATGATAGGAGAGCGGAGCCAAGTTAAAGCATGTATTATTTAAAAAGAGGTAAGTGATATTGATTAATTCTAGACTTTAATTTTGGTGTGAATATTAAAGTAAGGATAGAAATCGAATGCGTAACTTACATGCCAATAGAAGAAAAATGTAAAAATGTGAACTGGGATGTTACCCACCAAATCATGAGAGTAGATTTTTCTTGGGAGAAAGAAGTGGTTATGGCAACCAGGAGGGGCTGGGGTGGGAGGGCAAAAGAAAGTTCACATTATCTGAAATGTTCTATATTTTTAAAACCTGTAGAAAAAGAAAGAAAAAGCACATGCCTTGTATCTTTCTTTATCTGTTTGCTAATGGGATAGGACCCTGATTTTTCCCTCATATTCAAGGTCCCTCCTAATTTGCCTCCTTTTCTCCCAGCCAGCTTAGCTCCTCCTTCCAGCCCACATTTCCCATTTCCAACCTCCTCCTTTTTCATACATAATCTTCTTTAGGGTTTGTGCCTTAGTTATCCAAGTTCTGCCAGTCTGTAAAGGCCCTTCTTCTTATAACCCAATATTGATAACAGCAAATAGAATGGTCTGTGGCACATAATGCAAACTATATTCTGTTAACTCCCATATATATATGAAGAGAGATATATATATATATATATATGAAAGCAGTCCCTCTGGTGGAAGGACAATGGGGAAGAGAAAAGGAACAAAGGAAATTTTCACTGTTCTTTGATGGATAAATTGCACAGATGAAACAATATAAGTCACCTACTTCAAGGTTCTTTTTTATTTTATTTTATTTTCTTATTATAAGTAGCCTCCATGCCCAACATGGGGCTTGAGCTCAGGACCCCGAGATCAAGGGCTGCACTTCCTACTGACTGAGTCAGCCAGGCAACCCCATTTCAAGGTTTTTTATTGACCTCAGTAATTTAGAATGTATTTGAGATTCAGAAAAAGTTGGTTAAGAACATGGGGCTTTGGTGTCAGACTGACCAGTTCTGAAGATCAGTTTAGCCATGTTTTTACTATCTTTAAGGCTGTGGACAAGTGACTTAGGTAGTTTGAGTTTTAATTTTGTCATGTGCATAAAGGGGAAAATAGGTATTACATGTAAAACACTTAGCACAGCACTGGCCCACAGTAAATATAAAATAGGATTTTTATTAGCTAAAATACATAAACTCAAAGCCATGCATGGGATAACCTAGTTCTCCCTCATCCTCATTGCCAGCCTGTAACAGAATTGCATTGTCTGCCTTCTAGAAGTTAAATGTGGCCATGTTATTTATGATCACCAATGATATGTAAGCATTAAGACATAGGTGATTTCCTACAAGATGTGTAAGACCTACTGAGCAATTTGCCACTTCCCCTTTCTCTACCTGGGACTGTGGAAGCATGTTTTGAGACAGCCTCTGTCAGCCTGGTCCCTGAATGACCATATCGAGTAGAGCCCTCCTGCCACCCAAGGGAACACATGAAATGCATGAGAAACAAACTTTTTTGGTGTCAGGCCCCTGGAGATTCTGCAGTTGTCTGTTCCTGCAGCAAAACCTAGCCCATCCTGACTAGTATAATGCCCAGGTCATACGTTTCCACCCCCAGCTCAGAAAAAACCACCTAAAGCCACGCCTTAGAACTCACCTGCTCCAGCTACAAAAGTACCTCTGTCCAGCCTGATGTGGCTTTCATTCTCACGGGATGTGAGAAGCAAAACACTAGCAGAGATATGACCTGAAGTCGGCCCTGAGCCCAGGGAGAGGGGAGAACAGCAGGACCGGACAAAGAAATGTTAGGGAAACCAGGAACAGAAGCTAAGGAGCTTGGGGGCCGTCTAGGGTAGGTGGAATTAATTATGCCTACTAAAAAGCTTTCAATGTCATGTCTGTATCATAGAGATGCTCTTTCAGTTTACTGTAGTTTTTTATTGTATTTTCATTTTGCTTATTCATTTTATTTGTATTATCTATTTTTTAATATTATTATCCATTTTTTTAAACTACGCTTTAAAAAAAAATGCTTACTATCTCCCAAGCACCATGGGGAACACTTTAAATCTGTAGCAGGTGCTGAACTCTCCCAGCATCCCTCAGAGGCGGCAGGCTCTGGCCCATCGCTGGGGATGGGAACGCGGCTGTGCTCAGAGATCTGCAACTGTCCCAGGTCGGGGCGGCGGCGGCAGCCACAGGGAAGTGTCATGGGAAGCCAGCCCATGTAAATGCCAGAGTCCTTGCAGCATCGACCCTCTCCTCTCATTGAGCAGAACGCCATAGGCTGACCCTCAACAAAGACTAAATTATGTTTCAGGAAAGTCTGTTTGAAAAGCTGCAAAACACGTGTGACATTTTGGAAATTTTTATCCAAAATAAATAAATAAATAAAGAGATCCCACTGTAACAGGTACTGGCGCTTCAAAGGGTAGAAAGCTCAGGTTATCAGGAAAAGCCACATGTGGGAAGCCGCTCTCTCTCTCTCTCCCATTGCAGGATCAATGAGACGGTCTTGAATTTCAATGATCTTATAAATGCAACAAGAGTGATAGATATAAATCTATTAAAGCTCTTTCATTTAGAACAAGGAATCTGTATTCTTCTGCCATATAACTTTTTTTTTTTTAACTGCATCTTTCAGACAGAAAAAATTGCTGGCCACTGCGGAGTCATTTCCTTGGTTCTTTACAATGTGAGGAGAGGGGACCAGAGGTGGAGGCGGGAGGGCTGGAGGGAAGATAGAGCCCTCTGAGGAGTCCAAACGGTTGCCAGAGAGGCCCCTGGTTGTCATTCCATCTCCCTAGTTGCTTCCTTATGGGAAGGATGGCTGCTGACACCCAGGGGTCT